ATTCAACCGAACTCCCAATTGGAAAATATGAGCAACTATACCCCAAATTCGAAATGAAAGGAGGGAATAAAATGCATACCTTTATGTGTCTTGAAGATGAGTGATGAAGTGGGAGTGATTGATGAAATGAATGAGGGTATGTGTGGGTGTTCGAATTCAAGAATTTTGCTCCAAAGTGTGAGAGAGAGATGGGCGAGGAAAATGGGAAAGGTGGATGTCGAATGAGCCGGTCATGGCTTAAGTCCATGACTGGACCATTATTATGCAGCCGCATAGTTGATTGCTATGTGGTCGCATAGTGAAAGAAGTTTTCCCCAAAATAGTTTTGGTATATGTCTATACGGTCGCATAGACCATTTTTTTTAACTGCAATGCATAAAGATATGTCCCTCGTAAAAAAAAATTTTAAGAAAAAAACGTTCTTTTATCTAGAAATGCGTGAACCATGCTCCCAAACACCCAAAATCATTTCAAACTCACCGACCATGTGTGTAATACCTAGGAAATTATGGGGATGATAATTCAATTCAATTAACATGCATGTATGACCGAGGACCTAGAAAAATGCAAATGCGAAAATGAAATAATTCTAAAAATACTATGAAAAGTAAGCTAATAGAAGGATACAGTGAGTTGCCTCCCACCCAACGCTAGATTATAGTCGATAGCTTGACTTTACCGTATTGCGTCATTCTGGTGGTCTAAGATGAACGGTAGATTTTTCTTTTAAAAAATCGCCGCCCCAATAGTGCTTCAAACGCTGTCCATTGACCTTGAATGTCCCCTTGCTATCGTGAGTGATCTCGACTGCCCCATGTGGAAAAACCTGTGTAATAGTATACGGACCAGACCACCTTGATCGCAGCTTTCCTGGAAACAGCTTAAACCTAGAGTTGTAGAGTAGCCCTTTCTGCCCCACCGTAAATTCACGCCTCTGAATGTGCATATCATGCCATTTTTTGGTGCGCTCTTTGTAGAGTCTTGAATTCTCGTAGGCTTACATTTTGATAAGTGTGTTTTTGCATACTTGTTTAGGTCACAAATATGACTGAATAACGAGCAAAATGATTGAATTGTGACTTAATCTCTTTACATTTGTGAATTGTAGGGAACAACGATGAACATGATGAAATTCAAGAGAAAAGACGCGAAAAATTACTAAAATGACGCAAAGTGAAAGTTCAGGGACCAAGGTGCAATTATCCAAAAGTTGACCTGATGAACAAATCGAGAAATTGATTAAGCTAATTGCCAATTGATGATACCTTGGGATGATTGAATGAAAAGAACGAAAAAAAATGCCAAGAAGTGAAGTATTCAAGCGGGAGGACCAAAATGCACAACTTCCATAGTTGGTAGCACTATGCAACTACCCTCTATGCGGTCGCATAGAAACATACCGAAGCTTAATGGCCACAATATTTTAACTCTATGCGACCACATAGAGTTGCTCTATGCGGTCGCACAGAGCAATTCCCGGTTAAAATTTCAGTTTCCTTTTTTTCCGTCGAAACTCTTATGGAAACAATATTTTTAGGGTCCTATAAATACAAAAACTTAACCAAAATGTAAGGGACGCCATTTTTACAAATTTTTGAGAGATTTTGAAGGAAAAACGAGGAGAGAACAAGAAGATAACATCGCGCCAAGTGAAGATTCGATTGAAGATTGATTCAGATGATGACGTTTCTTCAAATAATTTTATGTCTTCTTCTTTTTACCATGTTAGGCTAGATTTATTATTACTAGGAGATCGATGAACCTTTCAATACTACGTTTGATTGTTGATTTGGATTTTTGACGTATTTAAACGCAAGTTCCGGAACTTAACAAATCAATCAAATCGGTGTGCAATTTGGTCCTCCCACTTAAATACTTCATTTTTTGGCAGCTTTTCTTCATTCTTTTCATTCAATCATCCAAAGGTATCGTTAATTGGCAATTGGCTTAATCAATTTTTGGATTTGTTCATCGGGTCAACTTTTGAATAATTGCACCTTGGTCCCTGAACTTTCACTTTGCGTTATTTTAGTCCTTTTTCACGTCTTTTCTCCTGAATTTCACCATGTTCATCGTTGTTCCCTACAATTCACAAATGTAATGTGGTTAAGTCACAATTCAATCATTTTGCTCGTTATTCAATCATGTTTGTGACCTAAATAAGTGTGTAAAAATACACTTATCAGGGAGCTTATTTATAGATTATAAATTATTAAACTAACCCATGACAATTACTCAATCGACTGGTCAGAAATTACCCTTTTGTCTCCCCTAACACCATCCCATTCTCGACGCCGCCTCAAATCCACAACCTATAAACACCACCACCACCTGCAATCCACCCCACCTCTTCTCTCCTGCTTTTCATTTACTTTCTCGTCGCACCATCGCGCAACAACCACTAAATTTCTTTTAACCCAACCTCACAATATCCCACCTCCGGCAACAATGCCCCACATATCTTTCTCATTAGCACTACCACACAATCAATGTTGCACCACTACTACCCACAGATTTTTACACCACACTATTACCACGCACTGATCTAAACATCAAATTGCCACTGCGTAGATTGTGTGCTTGAGTTAGGGTTCTCCCTCCCTACGATTGGAATTCGATTGTGCACTAATCTACCAACAGTTGAGAGAGGGAAAGACGATGGATGATTTTTCATTAAGATGGCTGGAGTTGGTAGGTGGACCGTGGTAGTCGAGTTGATTGAGAGAGCACATACAGATAGGGATGGCAAGCTTGTTTTCAACGAACCGAGCTTGAGGTTAGCTCGTTGCTTGCAGACGAGCCGAGCTTTGGCTCGCGAGCTTGTCTCTTTCTTTTCTTTTTTATTACAAAAAAAAAATGAACACAAAAGCATTTTTAAAAAATTAATTTAATGAACAATTTATTTATTTTTTAATTTCTATCATATAGTAATATTTTCTATAAAATGTTAAATATTTATGTAATGAAGATGATTTTTTTTTAAATACATTTACAAAAAATACATTTTTTTGTTTTCTTTTTAAAATAGATAAAATGTAAACATTCCTAATTTATCCAGGCTTGGGACTAGCTACATCAATTTTAAGGAGACAGAGTTAAAAATTGTACACGAACAACTTGTTGTAATATATACAATTTTTGAAAGAAAATTAAATGTAGCGATTAAAAAATAATTTTTTTTATTAATATAATTAAATCAAATATTACTTACCTGACGATATGCAATTTCGGTGTATTTATCTTGTAATCGAAAATGAGCGTCCCGCCAATCCTTCACGCATATTAACGCTTCCAAAATATTTTCTTTCTTCCGGCTCCTAACATCGGTCAAAACCCTTTTACCTTCACTAAAAGTAGATTCCGAAGCAACAGTGCTAACTGGAGGTGTCAGCAGATATTTTGCAATTGCAGAAACAACTGGCCAACGTCTTTCATACTTTCGCCAAAATTCAATTACTTCTTCTCAAATTGTTTTAATTATTTTATTTGTTGGCATATTCTGATTCAAGTAATAAATTAATTCGACAGACAATGCATTTTGAGCTGCGGTTGATGTTTGATGAGATACAGATGTATACGACATGGCACTAGATGAACACATTGCAGTTGCATCATATCTATATACATTAATGCCTTGAAATAAATTCATTATTTCGGTATCCTCTTCTTCAATTTCAGTCGAAGGAGTAGGTGCAAAGGGTATTCGATTAACATTTGCACACCATTCGATCTGCATATAATTCATACATTTCATATAATATTTGCTCTAAATTCCTATAGGTGATAGGTGTATCAAGGGTTTGTTGATCTGATCAATTACGTATTTAGTTCTTGATAAATTATATGGAGGGTCTATTACGCATGCTAAAGGAAATAACATACACAGGTCTTCCCAATATTTTCTAAACTTTAATTCCACAATAATTATAATTTCACTAAAATCAGAATCAGTTTTATATTTATGAAATGTTTTTGCAATTATAAAAAGATGTTCAAACACTATATACAGCTTGTGTGATAATAAACGTCCGATAAAATTTTTGTGGTCTCATAAAAAGATGTCAAAAATTTTTTAACTTTCAAAACTAAAACCCAATTGGATTCATTCATCATAGCATCGTCATCGCTTCTAACGTGTTTATTATCATAAAAGTCAATTATTAAATATTTGAAACTTTCACATGGCCTACGTCGCTAACAAATGTTTTAACAGTCGTCATCCCTATTTTGGTGCAAAAATCTTCGAATGCTTGTTTTCTACTAGGGGAGATCGTGATATATATTAGTGCGTTCCTAATCCTTTAAAGTTCATCATTTATATGTTTTAAGTCATATTGCACAATAAAATTCAAAATATAGCACACACAACTATTATGAAATAAATACTTACCGAAATCAAGTTACAGTACCCTACACAATTTATCAAAAATTACCCTATTAACACTAGTGTTATCGAAAGTAAAAAATCGAATTTTAGTCTTGCAATTATATTTTCTAACAATACTGATAATAGTATTATATATATTATTAGCATTGTGAGAAAACTCAATAATTCTAAAAGCAATAATTTTTTTATACATGCACCAAAGTGAGTCTATATAGTGTGTGGTTGCAGCTATATAAACTCTTTTATTAACCCATTTTCATATATCAGAAGTTAAAGATATAACACTCCCATATTGTTGCAAATCCATAATTAATTATTGTTTTGAATCATTGAAATATTATATTGTGTCAGCACGAAAAATGTTTTGACTTACCCCAACGTACCTTGATTGCAGATATTCTTTCATGTACGAGACGAAATGTTGGTTGTCGACAATAGCCAGAGGCAACTTGGTAGCGATAACAAATTTCACCATTCTAGTTCGAGCTTTCTTCTCCGAATACACCCACATGGATATGAGTGAAATCGTAGAACCAACACCTGGATTGCCAAATTGCAATTGTGTTTGACCGGTTGGAAGAAGTCCATGTCTGGTCGCACATGTTTTTTTGTGGCGGTTGAGATAGGTGGTACTAATTCCTTTTTGTCATGCCAATTTTTGTTATCAGTATTTACATACTATTTTAGATTCTGCAAGGCCATCGACGACTTTCTCATTGAAATCAACTTAAAGTGATTCAAACATTTTGCTTGTTTTTTACCACTTTCGCTTTCCCCTCACATCTGGAATGTTTAATTCGGGCTATTCGTCTTCATGTTTCGTTTCGGGAACATCAATATCATCCAAATTAATTGGATTGTGGCTTCCATGATCGTGAATGTCAACATCTTCATGTATGAGTACGTCATTTAACCCGACAAATTTATTCCGAAATTTACTTTGCGGCGCCTAGGCGATTTGCCATGTGGCCCACATCCTGTATCAAACAAGCTTTCAACAATTGAGCGTTGATCCATTTGTTTGATTATTTGTGATGAATTCCAAATATAATAATTAGTAAAAATATAAAAGTAGCGAGAAACGAGAATTGGGCGAAATTTCAATAAATGTAGTGAGAAATGAGAATTGGATGAATTGAAACTAAATAAACTGTAAAAAAAAAATGAATCAATATTATATAATTGTAGAAAATTGACTAGGTAATCGAGGCTATTTTGCACAAGAGAGTTGAAACTTGATAGAAAGAGAATTGAGAGAGCGGAGAATTGAGATGAAAAAATTGGGAGTTAATGGGCTATTTATAGAAGTGGGAAAAAAATAAAAAATAAAAATTAGTGAAAGTGACCGTTTTGGTCACTTAAAATTAAAAAGCCACAAGCGCGAGCTCGTCCACGAGCGGCTCGCCCAACGCATCGGCCCGCTCGACTCTCGCTCAGGCTTGTTAATTTTTTCTAACCCGAGCCGTTCACGATCTCTACATACAAATATGATAGATTGAAATCAAATCTTGGTTGTGAGGCGCGTGGGTGGGGATGCGGTGTTGGTGATATGGGGGTGGGGTAAGGTCACCTAATTTTTGAATGATAAATTTTTGTACTTGATTGTTAAAATGAGAAGTTAAAAAATAGGTTCGTGTGTAATTTCCTCCAAATTATAAACGGGGTTTGGGTAAACAACTAGTGATCTGGACCAAAGCCCAAAATATTTGTACATGTGGGTGCTATTTAGTGCTTCCTTTAATCTTGATCAAGTAATCCATGTATATGAGCCAACTCGGATCAGTATTAGTGCTTATTCAGTTTCATTTAATAAATAAATAAAATAACATTTTGAGGAATTTGGTTCATGGGAATAGAGACGCGTGGGTGGTTGAATTGATTTAAAATCAAATCAAATGTTTTGAATTAATGTATTATCATTTGAAATTACAGAACTGACACAAAAGGGTCTCAATTTATTCGAATTGTACAACGTTGGTTTTAGATCAAAGTTATTGAAAAGAGTAGTTTCAAGCCTATGTAGTCTGTAGCAAGTTGGCCTGAAAATCAGTAAATGAATCCCAGGTTGATTTCCGCACACTGGAACCAGCTCGTAGCAAACTTGATAATAGAAGATTAGTGAATAACTTAAGGTGTGGAATATTTTTGTCTCAGTTGGAGACTATGCCCGACATCTCCTACAATCTTACCTTTATGATATAAACCAATGTTTTACAACCATTTTAATCGATGGAAAATTTAGCTTAAGATCAAGGCCCCACACTTGAAATTATAGCCAAGCTTAGCCCATACAATCGAGATTTACATTTTAAGCCAGGATTTGAAATCGTTAATTTTTCCTTCTCTAAGGTTTCTTTCTTTTGTATAGCGGTTGAAACCCAATGATCACCATTTGTAGAATGTGGTGCTCTGTCACTCAAAATGATGCTACATAGTATTGTGAGCTAATCCAAGAATAATCAGTACATGTTTGGTAGCAATTTTTCACCCCCCCTCCCAAAAATAATTTTTTTAATCGTTATTTCACTATTCAAACCGTCATTTTTTACTTCTTCTCTCATAGGTAAGACTCACTTTTCTCTTTAACAGTCAAAAAATAAATTCTCAAAATTACTACTAAACAAGCCTTCAATAATTTTCTTTCTTCAAGGCAACAAATAGAACAAAACTCCAAACGAGTGAATAACTACAAGTTAGTTATGGTTTTCTTATTAATATTATGCTCACGCAAAATGTCTCTCCTTGATTAAGGGAACGAAATGCTCTATAACTCATTTCACATTTAAATATATATATAACTAATCAACATATTTGGTGTAATTCAAATACCAATCAGTTGTGTATATCTAAATTTAGCCTATGTTGGACAATCAATTTATAAATTCAATATATTAAAGTAAAACACGAATTTCGATCTTACATTCTTAATTACTATTCGTTTATTCTCCACACATTTCGTACGATCCACTACTATTTCTCTTTATAAATTTTGTTGATCTTAAAAATTGTTAGGACATCCACGTCAACTGTCAACCATCAGCCATTACATATATGCTTTCATGTTTGCATGTGAACTAGCTTAGTTTTGGTCGATAGAAAACACTCATCGCCAATTTAATATTTTAAGAAATTAAATTCTCTCTTTCTCATGCGGGCTCCGTTGCCCACCTACCAATACTGGTAATAAGGCTCCTAATGTAGAAGATAAATTTTGTCAGATAGAAGGGAACAAATATTGTTGCTTCCTTTGGTTTCATAGAATGCATGAGTTAAACAAGTAAAGAATTTGCTTTGCTGATAGAGGCTTCTTAGAATGATGAGGGCATCTGAGAAATGGGATAATTCATCTGTTAAACATCACTATCATTTCAAGCTTTTATGAATTTCTGCTTTTGTATTTTATACTACACTTTCTTCTTTTGATTTCCCTTTCTTTGTTGGGCCAAGAGAGGTAGCATCAGAACCATACCGAAAACAACAGAAGGTAGGATATTTTGTCATTCTTTCACACGAGGCACATAGAATTTGAGAAACACTTTATAGTTCAATATTGTCTTTTGATTTTGTGACGAATATTTATTACTTGAAATGTAGGATTCCCTTTGTTCGTATTCGAAAATTCATTACTATTTAATCGTTTATCGTCAATCATATCCCCCACTAAGTTGAAGAAAGCAAAAATGCGCGCACATAAGTCGACACTCTGACAGCATTTCTTTGGCAGGAAAAAGATGCTGTTGCCAAATTTTTTAGAAAGGTTAAGAACCCTGGTGGGCATCAAAAGCTGGGATTACATAGTTCTATGGAAGTTAAGTGATGATCATAGGTAGGTAATTCATAATAATTTATAAATTTTTTAAAAGAATTGAGTTTATTGCTTATACTTTGGTGGATTTATAGGCGTGTTGAGTGGATGGATTGCTGTTGTGCTGGAACTGAAAATATTCAAAATGGTGAAGAAGAACCGCTTTTTTTTCCTTCTTCTTCTGCTCTTCCTTGCAGAGATGTGACGTGTCCACATCCAAGGATTAAATCTTGTGATTTATTGGAACAACTTCCTGCTTCCATAACACTGGAGTCAGGGTAAGGCCCCCACCCTACTCCATACCCTCCGGCAATGGCTTTATAATAGAAATGTTTTTGAAGTACCGAGTGTGACTTTACAGAATTCATGCACGAACATTCTTGTCAAACCAAGCCAGCTGGTTGAACTTTTCGAACAACTCGGATTCAAATGTTTCCGAAGTAATTTTCTGTTTCCTCACAGCATGTTTGGTATACTCGACCGTACAATAGACACAGGACTACTTATTTTGCTTTAAGTATTGCGTGGTTGATGTTGCAGGAAACTCTAGGTACCAGAGTATTGATTCCATTGTCTATTGGAATAATCGAGCTGTTCGTTACCAAACAAGTACATGACATATCTGCTTTTCTTCCTTTTACCTGTGTAGTTGGGCATGCCAAGGCTAGTTAATTAATTTTCATGTACAGAAAATTTTTATATAACTACTACTGACTAAATATCTTCCAGGTACCTGAAGATCAACAAGTCATAGACATTGTTAGAGCTCAGTGCAACATTTTTCTGGAACAACAAGCCATGAGTAATTCAGGCAATACAGATTCAAGCTTCTCATTGAGTGCAAATGGAATACAAGTTCCCCCTGAGCCCTTGAAGGAAAACTTGTATTTGCCCCATGATATCTCCGTTGAAAGAATTCACTTGTGTAATTCTCCAATGAACGTCTCTAATTTCCAACAGTTTAGTGGCACGGGAGAAACAGGAAACACGAGTAACAATATTTTCTTTGAAGGAACATATGTATCAAACCCTTTCGCCCCGTCGATTGAGAATGGATTCCAGGAGATGGAAACATTACAAAGTAACATATTTGGTAGCCAAGTGAAAGACGATGACTCTTTTACACGAGAGAATAACCGTTCAGATGATTCTGATCCGAATGATGATGAAGAAGATGCAGCAAAGTATGGTAGAAGAACAGGAAAGGGACCTCAATGCAAAAACCTCATGGCTGAGAGGAAGAGAAGAAAGAAGCTTAATGATAGGCTCTATACTCTTCGAGCCTTAGTCCCTAAAATTTCAAAGGTATATAGTGCTGGACATGATGAGATAGTACGATGGATAAGATTTTTAACTTCATTTTCATTTTTGATACTATATAGTGCTATTATACTGTTTTGCAGTTGGATAGAGCTTCTATACTCGGAGACGCAATTGATTATGTAAAGGAGCTGCAGAAACAAGTGAAAGAACTCCAAATTGAGCTTGAAGGACATTCAGATGATGAGGACGCAAGGAAAACATCAGGAACAAACAGTAATGACAACAATGTCCAACCAGGTGTTACGTACCAAGCTGGAATGAAACGTGCTGCTAAATACGAACAGGAGAAGTATTTGAAAGTTTCTCACAGGGGACCATCTGCCAATGTTGGCATTAACATCTCGAAACAGGAACACGATTCAGAAAATACGAATGAGAAGCTGCAGCTGCAAATGGAGGTACGTATTACGACTAAATTGGATGCAAATCTCATATAACTTTTTGTTCTTTGTATGTGTTAAAACTGATCATGAGAGGAGACATTAACATTTGTAGCCACAAGTGGAAGTCTTCCAACTAGATGGGAATGAGTTATTTGTGAAGATATTCTGTGAGCACAAGTCAAATGGATTTGTGAACTTGTTGGAGGCTTTGAATTCTTTGGGCTTGGAAATAACTGATGTGAACACAACTAGACATACATGTCTGGTTTCAAACATCTTCAAAGTAGAGGTAACTCAAAAACATCTATTTGGTGATTATATTTATACGAGATTTTAACTTTCTGGTCTCTTCCTTTGGTTGTCACAGAAAAGGGATAGTGAAACAATTCAAGCCAATCATGTCAGAGAGTCGTTACTTGAGTTAACACGAAATCCTTCCAGAATCTGGGCTGAGATAGAGAAAACATTGGAGAATGGCAACATAGATCATGATTATCACCACCGCCATCTTCACCACGACTACAGCGACCACTCCCTCCTGCATAACCATGACCCCCAAATGAATCCTCATCCAGTGCAGCGCCTCCACCACTAAGTAATAATTTGGGGGCTGCTTCTTTTTCTCGTTTTCTACGTATAAAGCAGGTAAAAGACCTGAAAATTTGTTCCACAATAAGATGAGACTGCTTGAACTCATATGGCATAATTCAGAGTACCAAATCATTTGTGATGGATAAAACATAGTTACTCCACAAACATTATTTTGTTTATCCAGGCAAAATCCTATCAAATTGCAATGGAATTCCAACATCATAAAGCTTAAAATGACTCGCGTGCATAGGAATCTGCTAGAAGTTTTTAAAAAAATAGGAATCATTTAGATAGCAATTTCATGGCAATACATTCGAGACCGATCAAAACTGAAACAATTTGGGAAAAAATAACCCACTAAACAGCCATACTTTCGCCATTAAATTGATTTAAATATAGCCTTACAAACAACAGTTATTCTGAATCAACCATGCAGTTTAAGCTCATAAAAAAATTCATTAATGTTTATGAAACGAAGGGGCAGGATTTTGAGTTCTAATACAAAACAGAACCACAAATGCTCGAGCATAAAACCAGAATCTCATATGATATTGGGATATGAAGGCAAAAATCCACTGCAGACTAGTAGCCCCATTACCACCAGGTAATTGAATTTTCTTGGAAATTTGTTACGTATTGCGTCATGCTGCAAGAGAGAATCCTGCAGTCCAACCCAATGCAGTTTTGTCATCACTAGAACTCATCATCCTCCTCCTCAGCTATATGCTAAGCGAGCTCTTGCTCTTGCTCTTGTCTCTCCCTTCTCGTTTCTGCACTCTCCTCTTTGTTGGAATTAGCAGGGAATCGAAGGGCATGAACTGCCTCATTGTGCATTCTTAGGCAGAAAGCAATTCATGAGTAGAAAGCACTTTGAGGCTCATTCGTGGAGTAGATATCCCCAGTTTCCTTTGATATCAAGCAACCATTAGCATGATCTAGTGTAGCATCAATTGCACCATCTCGAATTGCTTTGGCTACAATACTCTCGGAATCAGCAACAGGGTTTGCAGAATCCAATCTCAGCCTTTTAGCAGCATCAACCAGTATCTGGGAGTATGAGATACTGATGTTGCGGAGCCTAGTTCTTATGACATTATGGAGCAACCTAACAATTAAATTGTTAGTACGGTCTGCACAGAAAGTGCTAGCAAACCTCTCAGCAACTGTTATAAACAGCTTCAGATCTCCAATCCGAACAGCCTGAAATTGCGCACACAATTAGAGGAGGTGAACTGAAGATGCTCGCTTTATCTGGAAACATTTTCCAGACACAAAGTTAACAAGAAGGATTTGCTTGGGTGATCCCATGCTTGTAAGCCCTGCGGGCGATATATGCAATGGGTAATGTCTAGACTCATGATGGAAATTGGCGGAAGATAGGTGAACGGAGTGCGACTACTGCCGCACAGGTGCAGAAAATAGTTCCACTGCGAGACTCGAAGAGTCGGCCAGTGTCACTAGGATTTGTCAATTTATAAGAAAATGTTTTCATATTTAATACCCCATACTCACATTTGTAAGCTTGAAGTATGGCCTGAACTTTTTCCATCCCTTTCTGCATAAAAACAGTTCTCTCAGGAATCTCTCCCAGTAGTAAAGTGGACAATAACAGCTCACTTGTTGCATTGAACTTGGAAACAAAGAGCAGAAACAAATGCTTTCCTGGCAGCTTGGGAAAGGGACTCTTTGGCATCAGTATAACAACTGAATTGCCCTGATCTTTCCAACATAAAAAAGATGACAGCAAAACTGAAACAGATAAATGGAGAGAAAATCAGAATCAAGAACCGACACCTAAATATGCAAAAGTTGGAGTCTGCACTAAAGAAACCAAGTTTTAGAAGATGTTTGATAAAGCAGAGAGAAATATTATAACTACTAGTATGCAAACATGTCATATTTTTATGGAGATTTTCATCCAGAACATCAGAGACACAAATATAATGTCAAATATATACAGTACGGTACCACCACAACAGATGGAGTGCCTGATTAGTTGCCAAAACATCACGACATCACCTGGTCTATTGACTATTCTAAGAGCTTACAATTGCACATCTTATGCTGTTATAGTACCAACAGTTTAGACAGTGCATGTCATTAACGGATGAAAAAAATTCTGTTTAGAATGTAATTTATGCCACGGAGCACGGTTATCTTCTCTATGTATTAATGTTACAAACTACATTTCTCATATTCATGTCTAAATAATAACTAGAGCAAAAGGGTAATGAAACGATCTCGAAACAAATATGGGAATAGACAGTGATTTTGCCGAACAGAGGAAAATAAGATAAAAAAACAGTGATTAAAAGTGGGTAAAGAAGTTGAGGAACTATAAACTGAAGTATCACTGTTCAAGAAAATAAGAAATGGAAGCATATTCCTTAAAGGTTGATGTGAAACATTAAGGAAACATTGTGCTGAAAATTGCCTTCTGATTTGAGTGAGCTTCAAAACGAGAAACCTTTGAACTCAGCTTCTCCGCTTGATCATATAGGTTGTAGTGAAGGAAATTCCTTAGCAGCAGATTAAGAAGTGTTTCCTGCATTTAGCATACATAAAAGTATGAGAACAACATCATGGAGATACCAAACAAATTGCTTGACCAATTAGTGACAAACCTGTCCCAACTCATCATTGCACAACGTTACAATCCGGTGCAAAGTTAAGAGATTATTGTTAATAAATGAGGATCTCTATGAGACATAAACACAACGAAAACCCAAACTGAGCAAGAAAAGCTGGATAAATAACATTCAACTCTTTTGGTCCCATTGATTATAGTTGTTTCAAAACATTCAAAATGCATGTGTCATCCTCAAGTAGGGGCATCAAAGAAGTTGCAAGTGATCTTAGAACCGATAAAAATATATGCAAAGCATATGCGTGTATTTTAGAACATTACAGTAAACAGGCCAATTCAGTGGTGTTAGGATTTTATTATCGTCAATATATTTTTAAAAACAGGTGCCCTCAAGAGCATCGATCAAATCCGTGACAATGTGGAAGTTGCTATCGATC